GTGTGTGTGTGTGTGTGTGTGTGTGTTGTACATTTTCACCACAACAGCCCCTGCTCCACCCAGATGACTGGATTCAAAACCGAAGCAGTTTTACCTCTATTGCGGACAACAAAGCACATTTGGAGATGAGCCAATTCAACAAAGCAAGAAGCATGGAGCAGAATAGATCCGTTGACTATCTTCATGGAGCAGAATAGATCCGTTATATCCCTTCCTTGACTATCTTCACTTTGGCTTTCTTTGGGTGTGTGTGAGATTCCTCTGTGTGTGTGTGTGTGTGTGTGTGTGTGTGTGTGTGTGTGTGTGTGTGTGTGTTGTCGCGTTCGCTATGCACAACTCCACAAAACAAAACAAGCATAACTGTGCCAGACTGCTTCGTCGGACTTTCACCGACGACTCAGGAGGTTCAACTCCAACAGTCTGCCCACGTGTGCGTTTTGAATTTTCACCACAGCAGCCCCCTATTCCACCCACCCAGATGAGCAGATCCAAAATCAAAGCATATATTCAATCCTATTGCAGACAACGAAAGCCCTTTTCGAGTTGATACAATCCAACAAGAAACAGTTTCACCTCTATGGCAAGCAACATGAAGGACAGCAGAGGCACGTAAACCCCTTTCTTAATTGTGTTCACGTTTGCTTTCTTTGGGGCACCCCTTTCATTTGTCTTTGCCGCTCACTCTAGGCTTGCCCCGTTGATCGTGGTTGAGTGCACGTTGCCCACAACCCCCGTGTGCCACAATGGCCCACGCCACGTTGATTGTGGTTGAGCGCGAGTTGCCCCACAAGGGCCACAACCCCCGTGTGCCACAACCGCCCACTTGCACACTATGAAAGGAGGCTGAGCGAAGGTAGAGGAGGGACATTCCTGTTCATTTCTTCTCGGATCTTCAACTTATATTTCATCTGTTCTCTTCATGATGCTCATTCGTACTAGTAATACACAAGAGGAGTGAGGAACGAAATGGGAGGTGGAGTTCTGACAGGTTCCAAATGGTGACCGCTGGGGCAGACCACTCTAGAATGGCACATGAGGCCAGTCAGTGTGTGGGTTGCATAACATTTGAGGAGCCGTCGTTGCCTACGGTAAGTGCGTATGGTAGGACCAGTTCGGGTGTCGCCTGTGGAAGCACCGCATCCGATTCTCGCAGTCGCCGTTACTGCGTCGAATGGCGCGGCGTAGACAGATGTCACAGGCTACGTGGCTCCTAGTACATGCTAGGAACACAAAGGCACGTCGACCGCAATTGTAGAGGCGTTGCCGTTCCAGCCCGTCTACAAATTGGACATGACATGTCAGGGTGCTGTACATGAATGCAGTGTAGACTGTCAGCATACATATGAAGTCAAAAGCTCGTCGGAGCTATCTTTTCATAATCCTCATGGCATAAGGCATGCGAACCACATGCTAGCTGAATCTCCAGTGGGTCATCACAAAGCTGCATGGAGCAAGTTTGATGGGTTTCCTCAGTACTCATTCCTTCTCTTTGGGTAGACGGCGATGGGGTAGATTGATCCAAAGCAAGGGTGTTAAGCTGCTGCAGGATTTGGTCTTCAACAGCTCGCCCTGGTGGAGACCACCATTCAGTACAGCGCTCTGTAGTTGGTTCATATGGTAATCTATTTTCCTCCTCGGGCTGCTGTGTCTGTCGTTCATCATCACGCAAGGAAGAAGGAATTCCCACTGTGGTTGCAGCAGGTGTATGACCAACACCGCATGTGGGACCGGCTAGGAGAGGATGTGGCGGATGATGGCACCGGGGATAGTCCACGCCGTAGAGACACATACTTTCTATGACGGCTTCCTGGAAACATTGACGAACACATGGCATGTTGCTGACATGTCATCGGCTAAAAAGGCTGACGTGCGCAATGATTCAAGCAGGGCAGATCAAGGGCTACAACGGCGTGCTGGGCAAGGAATCAAGGGGTGGGGGGAATGAGCACAAGACAAAGGATCGCAGTTTTCGTGGCCGAGGCTGGCAGAGACCATCCCTTAGTGTGTTTTTTTGCTGTCACAATGACAACCCCTTTTCCACCCAGATCTGAGTAGATCCAAAATTCAAACAGCTTGACCTCACATATCTATCAACTAAAGGAGTGCACCCGGGAAGCAAACGAAAAAATAGCAGATAACATGAAGCCCACTAATACCGTTGTTTGCCTTTTTTCGTCGGTTTTTTTTTTTTTTTTTTTTTTTTTGTGTGTGTGTGTGTGTGTGTGTGTGTGTGTGTCTAGGCTGATAGCCACCAAGAACAGGCCCATAAACAGGTAGTGACAAGGAGGAAAAGAGCAAGAAAGCACTTTTCTGACTGACTGTTTTACTAGTAGGACTTCAATGACTCATCAGAAGGTTGACTTTGGAATGAGTATTGATGGCCAAGTTGACCTTCTCGGCACCGAGTCACGTGCGGCTACAAGACTTGTGAAAGATTAGAGATTCTGGCATGAACTTGACCCACATGCCAACCAGGTTCTTGCTGTCAAACTAGGAGAGCAACAACAACAATTCCATATTCGAATGGGAGAGGTTCAATGCTGTAGTAAGAAGTACGAGCCCTTCTCTGCACCTTCAATCAAACTGGTGCAAAAGGACATTTGCAGCAGATGCCATTGATTAGCCTTGTGTTGAGATATCAAAGTCAATCAAACTCTCTCAGATGAGATGTCAGTATCAAGGGCCGTCTTGCTTGTATTAAGTTGTATTCTTTTTCCAAAGACAAGAAAAATAGTCGATGATGCAGAGAAGGGGTGGGGGGGGGGG